CTTGGGGTGAGGCACATGGAAGAGGAATGGGAGGTCTGACACTCTCCCCACCCCCAGGCCCCTTCCCCTGCAAGGCCATCAACAAGATTCTGTGGCGGAGCTGGGAGACAGGGTAGGTAGAGGGGGCAGTATGGGAGGGGGCTTGTCTGTCTGGGGCCTAGAGGATTAGGCTCTGGGTATATAGGGGTGCAGCCCTTACTGGGTTATCCAGCGTGTACCTGGTTCTCTAGGGGCTCCTGGTTCACATGGAATCTCTCCCTTTGCAGAGACCACTTTATCATCTTCAGTGGTGGCATGCCCCGAGCCAGCTATGGTGATCGCCACTGTGTGAGTGTACTGCGAGCAGAGACACTGGTGACCCTGGACTTCACCTCCCGTGTCATTGACTTCTTCACAGTGCACAGCACACAGCCAGAGGATGGTATGTATTCCACCTCCCTCATCCTAGCTGTCCCATTGTTGCTTCAAGTTGAGCTCACTCGCCCAATTCCACAGAATTTGACAACCCCCAGGCCCTAGCTGTGCTTCTGGAGGAGGAGCTGGTGGTGCTGGACCTGCAGACACCAGGCTGGCCAGCTGTGCCTGCCCCTTACCTGGCCCCTCTGCATTCATCGGCTATCACTTGCTCTGCCCATGTTGCCAATGTTCCCAGCAAACTGTGGGCCCGCATTGTAAGTGCCGGTGAGCGACAGAGCCCGCAGCCTGCCTCCAGTGCCTTGGTGAGTGTGGGTGTGGTGGGGTGAGGGCTGTTTCTGGTAGAGGGCAGTGTCTAGCCTAGATTGGAGATGGGAATGTGTAGGCATATGACCAGAATGAGATGGAGACCATCATCTTAACTTTGAGCTCCCATCTTTGTTGTTTCTTAGAGCTGGCCCATTACTGGGGGCCGGAACTTGGCCCAGGAACCTTCACAGCGTGGGCTGCTACTGACTGGGTAGGTGTGGGATGTGGGTGGCAGACAAGGTCCTGCACCTATGAGGCCTTATTTGCTTCTTGGATGTCGCAGGTTGTTTGGGTACTGAAGCATTTGGTGACTCAGTTCTAGTCCTGGCAAATCCAGGTTGTTCCTGTAAGGAAGCCTCCCTAGCTAGATTCTGGCTCAAAGCCTTAGCCTGCACTTCCTCTTGGCCTGGGACTGAGTTCCAGCACAGCCCAGGCTCCACCCATCTGGCTTGCCATGGACTGGAAAATCTGGGTTGGCCTATGGTGACTCTTCCAGTCAGGTGCTGGAGAGCCAGGCTAGGTCTGGGCACTGATGACTCAGGTCTCACTAACTGCCCTGCCCCTCCCTCCTGCCTGTGTTGGGACCCTCAGGCCTCTCAAGGCAACTTGCCCTTTCCTTTTGAGAGCCTGCTATGGCCTCAGGGATATCGGTAGGTCTGAACTACCTGAGTGTCTCACTGTCTTGGGATCCCACTGGGGCTGGCTCTGCAGCTGTGTCCCAAGGTTGTACTCTAGTTTTGTCTACTCTCCCCCTCTCTGCTTCCCCCACCTTTGCCACCCAGCCTTCCTGCTGCTTCACCTGGAAGACCCTCTTGAGCCTCTTGATCTTCCGAGGGTTCATGCTGTGATTTCTGGGTGCCCATTACTCCCCTCTGTCATCTCCTAATTATCAAGGTGGTTATTCCTTTACCCTCTAACCTGATCAGAGGGCTTGTGGCACGTGGTGAGTGCAGCCTGACGTGCAGTAGGCCTTGAGTACCTATTGGTACTGTGTAGCAGGTGCTTGCTGCTGAGTGCAGTACAATTCCAGTTAGTGTTTAGCATATGCAGTAGGTACCTATAGTGGCCACTGGAAGAATAATTGAGAGGGTGTGGAGTTCCCAGGGGGGCTCTGACAGCCACCCTCTCTACAGCCATGAGGATGGCACCGTGCGGCGGTTCTGGGATGCCTCTGGTGTGGCACTAAGGCCACTCTACAAACTGAGCACAGCTGGCCTCTTCCAGACGGACTGTGAACATGCTGACAGCCTGGCCCAGGCTGTGGAGGATGACTGGCCGCCCTTCCGCAAGGTACCTCTCCTCCCTCTCCCGCAGGCCTGGCCTTTGAACCTAACATAGTTCTGCCCGGTATCATCATTCCCATCTTGTCCCCTCAGGTGGGCTGCTTTGATCCCTACAGTGATGACCCTCGGCTAGGAATACAGAAGGTTGCACTTTGCAAGTACACAGCCCAGATGGTGGTGGCTGGCACTGCAGGCCAGGTGGGCTTGGTGTCCCCAGGTGTGGCTCCTGGGAGGCTTTCTGCAGGAGGTAGCCCTGAAGGGTGGGTGGAGAAGTAGAGAAACCAACATGGGCCGTAGGTCAGAGTGGGAATGGAGCACCAGGTCAGAGTGGCCGGGGTGAGGACCCATGAAAGTATGGGTGCTACCACTTGAGTAGGGGTGGGGAAACCATAGAGGCTTGGGACTGGGAACAGGAATATGGTGTGAGACATATTCTTAGTCACAGATAACCTTCAGTGCTTGACTGTGTGTGTATGGATGCCTAGTGTGTGCTTAGTGGAAGACACTCAGGGTACCAGCTGAGTAGGTGAATGAAGACATTATAAACCGTTCTGGCAATGTCTGAGAGGTCCAGAATGCCCCTCTTCATCTGAGTCCTCTGATGTTATGGTGCAGGTGCTGGTGCTGGAGCTCAGTGACACACCGGCAGAGCAGGCTGTCAGTGTGGCCAGTGTGGATCTCCTTCAGGATCGTGAGGGCTTCACATGGAAGGGCCATGAACGCCTGAGCCCGCACACGGGGGTGTTGCCTTGGCCTGCGGGATTCCAGCCTCGCATGCTGGTGCAGTGCCTGCCACCTGCTGCTGTCACTGCTGTCACTCTCCATGCTGAGTGGAGCCTTGTGGCCTTTGGTACCAGTCATGGCTTTGGGCTTTTTGACTACCAGCGCAAGAGCCCTGTGCTGGCCAGGTATGTGGTATGAGGTGAGCAGTTGGGCAGCAAAGGTCCTGTTAAGATGATCGGGGATTCAGTTTCCTTTCAGAGATTGGTGTGGCAAAGGCAGTTTGGTTGGGAAAGCCCTTATAATTTCTTCATCGTCGAGAGAACTGGTCAGGCCCTCCAGCTGCTGGGCCCATAGGTCCTAGCACCAAGATGCTCTGGTTCCCTGACCTGGACTCTGATAGCCTGGCTTCAGGCTAGCAGGAGTGCAGTGTACCTCCATAGCACAGCTGGCCCTGTCATCCTCAGGTGTACCCTTCACCCCAATGACTCTTTGGCCATGGAGGGGCCACTGTCACGGGTGAAATCTCTCAAGAAGTCACTGCGACAGTCATTCCGGCGTATTCGTAAGAGCCGTGTCTCAGGCAAAAAACGGGCTACTACTGCCAATAGCAAGGTGAGCTGGGACTGGCTGCCATGTTGCCAGGTTCACACCCTCAGGTTTGCTCAGTTGCCTTGTTCCCCTGGTAATTAACTGGGAAGCAGGGGCTTGGATGGTGATGTCTTCTGGTACTGGGCAGAAAGGGCTCTTGGAAGAGCACATCTAAGATCCTCTGGCTCTACCAGTTGCAGGAGGCCAATGCACAGCTGGCAGAGCAGACCTGCCCCCACGACGTGGAGATGACACCTGTGCAGCGCCGCATCGAGCCTCGATCTGCTGATGACTCCCTTTCTGGTGTTGTACGCTGCCTCTACTTTGCTGACACATTCCTTCGAGATGGTGAGGCCAGGGTAGGGACGGGATGGAGAGGCTCGATGGCTTTCTACTGTTAGGAGAGGTGGTGTTCTGAGCACCTGCTGTGTGCTGAGTTGTACTTTGGGATATCTTGGCCACCCGTAGAGCCCAAAGGGGGGACATATTTTCAGGGTTTGCTGAGTGGGCTGCAAGGCTTCGAGCCTTGTAGAGTTGAACAAGAAGCAAAGGAGCCATGGTGAGGTAGGCAGTGAGGGCCAGGGTGGCCAAGGCCCTAGGGAGGGCAGGTAGTGGAGCTGTCGGGGCAGATCAGGCAGGGACTTGTCATTGACTCTGATAGAACGTCCCCTCTGTGCCTTAGGTATATTGGTAGTTTGAAACACAAATACTATATGGTCACATACTCTTACTTCAGCTGCCACCCCCAGGTATCTGCTGCCATTGTGTGCCCTATCCACATTTTATGTGTAACAATCCTGGCTTTTTCAGAACTTGCTTTGTAGACCAGGCTGCCCATGAACTCATAGAGATCCATCTGCCTCTGCAGGGATTAAAGATGTGTGCCACCATGCCTGGCTTATACTTTACTCTTGTATCTTTGTTTTTTTAGATAGGGTCTCACCACATAGTCCTGACTGCCTGGAACATGCTATGTAGATCAGGCTGGCCTCAACTCACAGAGATCTGTCTCTGCCTCTTGAGTGCTGGGATTAAAGGAGTGTGCTGCCATGCCCAGCTTTGCAGGAGGGAGCTGTGTTTCCTGGAATGAGTTGAGGGTGCAGCTTGAAGGCTTGGTGGTATCAAGGACCGGTTTGTGGCTGATACCCACCCTCCTCATGTCCTCAAGGTGGCTCATGCCTCTGGATCAGGGCTGCTGTTAGTCTCAGACACAAGTGGGTTGAGGCCACACAGCAGGTATAAGACAGGAGGGAGCCTGGATTTCTGAGATCTAATCCCTACAACTAGTTAGGAAATGAAGGTGCAGGTGAGAAAGAAGGGTCTGTGAGGAATGGGGTTCCTCAGAACATCCTCCTCACTGTACCTGTCTACCTGTCTCCCTCAGCAACCCACCATGGGCCCACCATGTGGGCAGGGACGAACTCAGGCTCCGTATTTGCCTATGCGCTGGAGGTTCCAGCAGCCACAGCAGGTGGCGAAAAGCGGTCTGAGCAGGCAGTGGAGGCTGTACTGGGCAAAGAGGTACAGCTGATGCACCGGGCACCTGTGGTGGCCATTGCTGTGTTGGATGGTCGTGGCCGTCCACTGCCTGAGCCCTATGAAGCTTCTCGGGACTTGGCACAGGCCCCTGACATGCAAGGTGGACACGCTGTGCTCATTGCATCTGAGGAACAGTTCAAAGTGAGTTTCCATGGGTGATGGAGGTCATCCAGGATCTTGGACCCTTTAAAAACCCCTGCTTTGCCCATTTCCCCTACTTTCTGAGATCTAAATCCTTTCTATGCCATCAAGCAGCCTTCAGCCAGTAGAGGCCCCTGAAGGACCTAGGTTCCCCCTAAGCCTCCCAGTTCCCCTAAGGCCTTGCACCTCACAGCCTTCTCCAAGAGTCTTATGGAAATCCCTTGAATCCAGTCCCCACAGACTTATGATATCTAGTTAATCTGGCTGTGGGTAGAGATGAGGTATGCCATGAAGCCTGGGCTGAGTCTATAAATGGGGAGGGCTGGTTCAGTGGGTGTCATTTTGACATGCATGGTTGGGTTGGGGCCTACAGGGCCAGTTGGGGTCTGCCGCTAAGAGAGAAGTGAGTAGGACAAGGCTGGGCCTAACTCATAGGCTATCTGTCACCAGGTGTTCACACTACCCAAGGTGAGTGCTAAGACCAAATTCAAGCTGACAGCCCATGAAGGCTGTCGTGTGCGGAAGGTAGCCCTGGCTACATTTGCCAGCGTGATATCTGAGGACTATGCTGAGACCTGCCTTGCCTGCCTCACCAACTTGGGCGATGTCCATGTTTTTTCTGTGCCTGGCCTGAGGCCTCAGGTGCACTACTCCTGTATCCGGAAGGAAGACATCAGTGGCATCGCTTCCTGTGTCTTCACACGCCATGGCCAGGGTGAGGTGGGACGGGTGGTTGGGAACAGCAGAAAGCATGGTCTCTGCTTATCTGCTGAGGTGTTGGCCAAGGGCTGGAGTGGGAACAGTCCTTACATGCTCTTTTTTCTCTTGTTGACAGGCTTTTACCTGATTTCTCCATCGGAATTTGAGCGCTTCTCCCTGAGTGCTCGCAATATCACAGAGCCCCTCTGCTCTCTAGATATCAGCTGCCCCCGAAATGCCACCCAACCCAGGTGTGTGAGGAGCGGGCCCCTTATCCATCTTGGGTTCTGCACTCTTTGGTGTTAATCCCTGTTCCTGGTTTGGAGATGGACGGTAGCATACTGTAATAGTCCCCATCACACTCCATCTATTTCTGTAGCCATAGGCCTCAAGAGTCACCCAAGCTGAGCCAGGCCAATGGGACCAGAAACATCACCCTGGCCCCAGAGAGCTGTGAAGGAAGCCCTAACTCTATCCACAGCAAGCGAGCTGGTGAGAGGTCACAGGGTTGGGGCAGGCATTGGCTTGAAGGTACCTGAGGGATGAGAGGTCAAGTCATAAGCTCAGTGCTACTGAGCCAGGGCTGGAAGCTGCCAGAAGAAAGGCAAGAGTGCCTGTGTTTGCACACGCCATGTCTAGCTGTGGGCTGGTCTCTAGATGGCAGAGAGTAGATACTGAAGAGCGCTTCTTCCAACAGACATCACAGAGCTACCCGAGGCCACACTCTCACCTGTGTCCATTGACTCAGCTACTAGTGGGGATACCACGTTGGACACCACAGGGGATGTCACAGTGGAATATGTAAAGGATTTCCTGGGGTGAGGCCAGCTGCTCTTTCCCAAGCCTCCATCCCCAGGGCAGCTAGGGGTCTTCCCACCCCAGCCCTTCTGACTACTGCCCCTCCCCAGCTCTCCTGAGGACTCTGAGAAGAACCTTCGGAACCTGGAAGCAGATGAAGCCCGGGCCTACACCCTTCTGATTAAATGAGGTGCTGTGAGGCAGCCAGGCCTTACCACGCAGCAGCTGCCATCCCTTGCTCCAGCTGGGACCCTGGCAGGCCTCTATAATGGTGTCATTCCTGGAAGCCTAGCTGCCTTCCCTTAGCTGTCAGAAGCTTAGGGGACCCACAGTTATGATCATCATAGTTTAGTGCTAGAAAGGGGCTGTCCTGTCAAGACTCAAGGTCTTGAACATTTAGAGGGCCACCTCTGAGTCTGGGTGTAGGAATTGAGGCTCATCCTGTTCAGTGAGCCCATTTCACAGGACAGTCACTGAGGGTGGTAGGTCCTGCCTGTTGAGCCAGCACATGGAGCTTATGTGCCTACCATATCCTGCTATGGACCCAACCTAGCTGGAACCTGGAGCTATCTGGACCTTGGTAGCTAGTGCCTCTGCAACCTACATTGGGCATAGATACTACTCCTATCCTGTTACTTGGTTCCCTCCTAGATCCCCAGCAAGCCCTTCCTCAGGCTGTCATTAAAGGGCCTGCCTGCCCGCCCTGCACAGATTGGTATGGCCTGGGTTTGCTCTCCCTAGCCATCACCATCTGCTTATCCCAGCTCACTGTCACCTTGCCTAGCTCCTTAACATTGAACCCACACTTGTTAACCTGTGGGATCCAGTCTCACTGATGCTGGGCCCTAAAGACACCCCCAGCTTGAAGGTCAGCTGGAGGGAGTGTGCCAGGATCCTCTGTCTTGCACTCCATACTGTCCTTTATTTCTCCTCAAGCAGAGTATTTTTCTAATGCCTGGACTACGCTGGCCAGTAATTTCTAAAGCAGTTTTGGTACTTGCTTCTGGCCTGTGTGTATGCTCATGTGACTGGAAATTGCGAGGCACCGTAACTGGAGTCAGTTGGGTGTGTGCATGTGTGTGGGGTGGTGAGGATGGGCTTCCCTGTAGACTCCACCTTGGGCTTTCTGTCTTTTTTTAAAAATTAGTTTTAATATTAAAAGTACTGATTTTTTAATATTGAAAATAAAAGCATTTAATATCTTTTAAACTACGTCTGCTGCACACATGTGGACACGCTGGTGGGGCTTGCAGGATGTGGGCAAGAGTGGTGGGTAGCTGAAACATGTGCTGGGAGGCCTCTTCTTCCTCACTGGAGTCTCAGGTCATAGATAACTGCTTAGGCTGGGGCTTGGCGGAAGGTGCTCCAGGCATGGAAGCAGCGGGTAAAAGCCCGCTGTTCATTGCCTTTGCGGACCAGGCGCAGGCGGCGTGGCCGCTCATGTTCTTTAGAGCGTGTGTGCTGGATGTATACCTGGTAAGGAAAACAGTGGGCCCAGGTAGTCCTCCGAGTCCTGCTGGACTGCCCAGGATGAGGGAGGGGGCAGGTGGTTCCTGAAGTCATGGGCTGGCTTTAGTGCTGTCCCTTTCTTACCTGGCAGGCCTTCAGACTCAGTTTGATCTCCACTTGACTTGTCTGGGTCCCAACCCACATGTAGACCTGAGGATACAGTGGAGGAAATGGTCACATGGGTGTCTTGGCCTTTTTGGTGTTTTACAGTGCTAAAAACTGAACCTGGGGTCTTTGTATATGCTACTCAAGTGCTCCGCATGCGGCTGGTGGGAATGCTTCCCTCTGGACCGTCTGTTTCCATCTACAACTCCTTACCCAATGGGCAGGGTCTGAGGTGGGGGAATGTCTTACTTCCTGGCCATTGTCTAGCAACATGATGTCATCATCTGCCAGGTCATCTTGGCAAAAGTCAGAGCATTTCTCAGTCACTGCGAAGTAGCCCTTCTCATTGGAACACCTGAAGGGCAATGGTTAAGGTGAAGGTAAGCAAGTGTCAGCACTAAAGAAGCTAGAGGAGGGGTCAGGGCACTCACCTGAAGAGCCTTGTGTGCTTCATGTACTCTGCATCATCATCATAGGGTTTCTGTGCACCAATGCCTACCCAGAAGAAGTTCTCTGGCTCCTCACCTTCATTGATGACCTGTGGAGAAGGGTGTTAGCCAGGACTGTCCTCTGCTCTCATCTTCCTGCCTGCCCCCACCTCTGTTACCTGTTTGCTGTAGGAAGCATCAAACATGCTGTTGAGGATGTCTTCTGCCAGCTTGGCTTCATCAGGGTCTGATGCCCGGCCCACCCAGGCATACACAATGCCTTGGTTGTCCTCACTTTCAAAGGGGACCTGTGGTGTACATAGGGCTTGGGTTAGGTCTAGATTATTTCTTGCCCACCACCCTGCTCTGCTGTCCTGCCCACAGCCTCACCTTGAGGATGAAGCAGAACTCAGAGTTGAGAAGGCTGGAGTCTGTGTTGATCTGGATGCACCTAGGGAATAGGGGGTGGTCAGCAATGTTACCCCCATCATGGAATCCTGCCCTTTCCCCATTCTAGGTACCTACCGGGTGCAGAGGGCACTGCCATTGGTGCGGATCTGATAGAGGCTCGGCTGAAGAGTACCCTTGCCCGCCTTCCTCTTGCCCCGGTGGATGATGAACTTTCTTTTGAAATGGGACAGGAACTTGGGGTTCTCCTGCTGCTGTGTCATACGTACTACCTGGGGATCGGAAGTGCTGGGTAGTTTCCTAAACCCTACCTACCTTTCAAGGGTCAAGCCTCCTCAGGTCTGGTTTGATCACACTACCATCCCAACCATAGGCTATGGGGCACAGCTCAGGGCTTGTAGGAGGGCATACCTCCAGCTTGCCAGGGAATAGGCTCTCAAACTTCTTCTGAAGACTGAAGGTGAAGGTGAGCCAGCCCATGTTAGAGGCCTCCCGGCCCTGCCAGAAGTAAACGATGCACTGAAAATCTTCCTCTGGCTGCTTCTCCTCTGCCTCAGCTTCTGCTTCCTCCCCTTCTGTGCCCTGGACCGAGGCCTTCCCCTCCTTGACTTCCGTCTTCTCTTCCTCCTCATACTCCACAGGCACCCAGTACCTGTGATTTAGACAATGGTGAGCAGGGGTTGCATAGGGAAGAGGACAAGAGGGTAAAGTATTATTATGGCACCTGCAGAGGAAGACATAGCAGTCCTGTGTGTAGAAGTGGCCAAACTCTTCCTCCGGCAGTCGAGTGAACTTCCTGCCCTCCAATACGAAGCCTTCCATGCCATCCAGGTCCTCATTCCATTCCTCCATCAGTTGCTCTGCCTGTCACCCCATCCCCAGGTGAGGTCTCAACACCATGCTGAGCAAAGCCCCCTTACCCCTCACACCTCCCCCTCACAAAGGCTCCATCCCACCTCAGCCAGTGCCATTGGTGGCGGCCGTGGCAGGAAGAGTGCAGTGAGGTCAGCCTTCATCTGGTCTTTCTTCTCAGTGTCACGCTTTACTTTCCCAGAGAGCCCCTGGCCCTGCAGCACAGCCTCTGCATTTCGAGTGTAGTCTACTGTCAACACATCGTCCCAATTTTTGAACTTAGCCTTGAACACCTGTGGAGAATGGTATAATGCCATAACTGGGGAGAGGTACTGCAAAGTTAAGGTTGGGGCTGAGGGATTCAAGCAAGGTTTGGAAAAGCTGGTCAGAGGTCAACTGGGTGGGGTCTAAACAAGAGCTGGAAACAGCCTGGAAAGGTGGAGCCTAGCAAAAGAAGTGGAGACAGGCTACAGAGTGGATGGTTCTGCAAACAAGGTGGATTTGGACCCACCTTTGCAGCACAGTAGTGCCAGTAGGCCAGCAGAGTGTGCAATGGAAAGCAAGCCTCTGGGTGTGGGGGTATACCTGAGCCTCGGTGCCTTCCAGGCTGCGGCTGACCACTGCATGGCGTGGCCGGTGCAGCATCCCACACAGCTCCTGACCTAGTTTGAGTGCAGCAGCACGCACTAGTCTTGGGGACTTGCGGCCAAGCCAGATGAATACATCAGACCAGCAGTCCAGGATGTACACACATCGTGTGTCCAGCAGGCTCTGCAGCTGTAGGACAAGGGGCTGGAGGTCAACACCTGGCCAACATAGGAGACAGAACCCGTGCACGCCTCCTACCAACTCACCAGTCTCATTCCTGGCATTAGTTCCACCTTGGGCCGTTTTTTATGTTCCACTGACAGCTTGTAGTTGATCTGGGGAAGCTCCAAGTAGCCCAGGCCCAGGCCCACCTGGGAGGAGAAGGAGATAGGTATAGCAGACCCCACCACATTTGCTCTGATTTGGGGCCTGGCTCCCCACCTTGCTATTTGGACTTGCTTCCCTTCAAACTGAACTACATTTTAAAGAGCTCCTAGCAATGGGTCTAGTGTTCATTGGGCTTTTTTCCTAGTGCAGGGAGCAGTTGTAGGGTTTTGCCTACACCAGGCAAGTGCTCTACTATAGAGTCCTATTCCAAGCCAGTGGAAGGGCATTTAACTTTATTACTATTTTTAAGTAGGCATATTGTGCCTGTATATATGTGCATTGCATATATCCTTGGTGCTTATGGAGGGAGGCCAGAAGGCATATTGAATCTCCTATAACCAGAGCTGCCATGTGGGGTCCTGGGACTTGAACCCAGGTCCTTTGGAAGTACAAGTGCTTTTAGCCACTAGGCCATCTCTGCAGCCCTTGAAGGGCTTGTTGGTTTTTTTTTTTTTTTTTTTTTTTTTTTTTCTTTTTGAGACAGGGTTTCTCTATGTAACGGCCCTAGCTGTCCTGGAACTCAATTTGTAGACTAGGTTGGCCTCAAACTCACAGAGATCTGCTTGTCTCTGCCTCTCAAGTGCTGGGATAAAAGGTGTGTGCCACCATTGCCTGGCTTTTAAATACATGTTTTCCTTACTTGCCTAATCTAGGTCCTTACTATTGTTGCCAATCTTCCTTCCTTCCTTTTTGGTTTTTCGAGACAGGGTTTCTCTGTGTAGCTTTGGAGCCTGTCCTGGAACTTGCCCTGAAGACCAGGCTGGCTTCGAACTCACAGAGATCCACCTGCCTCTGCCTCCTATGTGCCAGGATCAAAGGCATGTGCCACCACCACCTGGCTGTTTCTAATTTCTTAACTCATCTCTTTCCTGCTCATAAGAACCTTAGTCTTGCTGGGCGGTGGTGGTGCACACCTTTAATCCCAGCACTTGGGAGGCAGAGGCAGGCCATCTCTGTGTTCGAGGTCAGCCTGGTCTACAAGAGCTAGTTCTAGAACAGCCTCCAAAAAGAGCCACAGAGAAACCCTGTCTTGAACCCTCCCCCACCCCACCCCCCAAAAAAGAACCTTAGGCTCCTGCCATTCACAAAACTAAGGCCAAATTCTCAGCTCTGGTACCCAGGAGCTTCTGGCCTACCTTCCAGAAGTGCATGCCAGCTTCATCCTCACAGCTAGCTGGCTTCCAGACTGAGCTCCTTGTCCTCTTCTCCCAAAGCCCACAGCACAACCAATGCACTGAAGTCAGGTTTACTCTGCATCCCAGCACCGACTCACCTTGTACAGCTTGGGCTGGGGTGGCCAAAAGTCATCAGGCACATGCTTCTTGATCTCAGAGGGCTCCCCCCCCAGTACCTCCCAGAACTCTGGGGGCTCTTGGCCCTGCACCACGAGTGTGATTTCTGCCTTCCCTTTCCGCTCATTCTTGTTAATTTTCTCTGCAAAGAGCCTGAGGACAGATGCAAAGCCTTCAGCAAGGTGATGTTGCTCTTAGGGATGCCTTCCTTTGCCCAGAGCATCCGTAAGACTCACTTACCTGGCCTTGGTGGTGTTGCTCAGCGTAGCCTGGCCCCCCCGCCACACATAGATGTCCAGTCCTCGGTCCAGGAGGAACACAAATCTGGGTAGGATACAAGAGCTGTAATGTAACTCCCTGTCACTGACACAAAAGGTGATAGCCCCACCTATGGCCCTTTTTGGGTGGACCTCAGCTTTTCTTCCAAGCTCTGAGGGGAAGTTAAGATTGCTTCCTCATAGGTGGGAAGGCAACTAAGGGCAAGCACCCCCACTTCCTCTCCTATCTGTGCTCACCTTGGATCCAGTGAGGCCCCCTTGAGGGGCACAGGCTCCAACTTGATGTTCTTTTTCCCATATACACGGTACATCCTGGGGGGCAGGGCAAGAATGACGTGATGTGGGCACCAAAGGCCACCCTTTCCTCCACCCATTCCCAGCAGTCCAGGCCAATGCCCTCATCTCTACATGCTTACCTGGTGACATAGTGTGTATCTTCCACAGTATAGAAGCCACTGGCTGTTCCGCCTTCGATGTAGGAGATGTCATTGTCAAACACCTATTGTGTGAGTATGGTTCTTCATCACTGAGTTGTTCCCCGCCCTTATCAACTACCTGTCATGCTTGGCAGAGTTTACCCAGCTGGAGTGTGGGTACAAACCCACAGTGATTAGGATGGGGTACATGTGCTGGAGAACAGGGCTGCACATGTACAGAGGGTGGACAGTCTGAGACGTGTTTATGGGAGCTAGCAAACCTGGGCGGCCTGCGGTAAACTCTCCAGCTACATGCCATCTCTAAAGGGAACCCAGCTGGCAGTAGGGGGAAGGCCAACTAGCTTTGCATTTTTTCTTAGGCCTGGCCCTACGCTTAGCCTCAACAGCTGTAGGTTCCAGCCCATTTCTCAGCTACTCTCCTCATCCTGTCCACCAGCTCCCATGCTAGTCTGCCAACCCCCCTTCTTTGGCCATGGATTTCAGGCTCCCCAGACCTCCCCTTGCTCTCTGCAGTTTCTTGTTCACCTTTGGCCTCAAGTCCCTGCCCCACCTCTGTACATAAGGCCTGAGTGTGTGTGTGTGTGTGTGTGTGTGTGTGTGTGTG